GATGAGTGTGCAGATGGGTCAGAGAGAGCCAAGATCCTAGTGGTAGAGTTCAGATTTTCCATCGGGTGGCCTGGGAAGGTCTCAGTCAGTACAACTGGAATGATTTTGAGGGAACAAGCCCTGTGGTTCTCAGGGTGAAAGAACATTCCAGGCCAGAGGTAATTTAATTTACTAATGTTCATAGCTTCTAAGCAATCCTTGTGCACACAAAAGGATGCGTAGGATGTAAGAAAATCTAACCTATGCATGGCTTTCCAATGTAACACCACATTTAAGGATGTTGAAATGTCAGCAAATGCAATTTTGTAGAAATGTCAGCAAATGCAATTTTGGAGCAGATACATCTTATTATTATTATTATTATTATGGTCAAATTTAGGGCTCAAACACTTTGGGACTCCCTTGATTATCATGCAGACCTGTCTTAAGTATCTGGTGGTGAAAACCTGCCCTGGGTAAGGTTGAAGCAAGGGGTCACTCTCTCCACCCCACAGGGTCTTCGTGGCCTGGTCAGGGTCTGCAGAAAAACAGCACCAGGATTCTTACATCACGAGTCAACCTGGCTGAGGGCCTGAAAAGGGCAGGAAGTTCACAGACCAGCCCTAGGTGACTTTAGGAATGGGGAGCAGGGCCAAGGGCTGGCTCTAGGCGACGCATACCTGAACACCAGGTGTGTCTCTTGGATGCCTGTGCACTTCCTGTTTGTCTCTTGGCCCAGGCCCAGCCTCTGTCTTAAGAGTCCCCCAACTCCAGGTTCCTCTGTCTCCTGTCCCCCTTAGTGGGCATCGAGGTGGGTCACTGACAAAATTCTGGTTAGTTGGGGGAAAGCTCAAGGTGGGCACAGGTCAGCCATAGGCTAAGTCATCCTCCGGCCCTGTGTCTTCTGGAATAATTTCTGGATATTTGGGCAGGGGAGAGATGAAGGGGGCAGAATCAGGAGAGGAGGTGAGGTAGGGGCAAACATGGGGAAAGGAGGGAGGGGGGTATTCATGGCCTATAGACCATATACATGTGTACACATCACAGGGAGCAGCCACCAGCACATGGACACACATGGACACAGATGAGCAAACTTGACATTGAACAATCACCAATTGGCTGAGCACTTACTTTGTGCTGTTCTAGACCTGGAAATACAGTGATGATAGAGACCTGCCTTCACCCTTGACCATCTGGTGAACAAGACACACAACAAAATAAGAATAAATTCCAAGAGTAATCAATGAAATGCTAAAACAGAGAGAGGCGGTAAGATGGCTGGAGGGGGCAGGCTACTTTAAATAGTGTAGTCAGGAAGGTCTCTCCCAGAAGGTGACATTGGAGCTGAGACTTCAGGAAAGGGAAGGAGATAGCTCTGCAAAGATTTGGAGAAACAGCCGTTCAGGTGCAGGGGTACAGCAAATGCAGAGGGAAGACGGAGCTCGCTTTTTACATTTGATATTATTTAGGAGACCAGTGTGGCTGGAATGCAACGAACAAGGAGCTAAGTGGAGCTAAGCCAGTGAGGTCGGCTGGGGTGAGACAATGCAGGACCTGGTGGACCTCAAATTTTCAGCTCAGTGGGATGGAATAGGAACTTCGGAATGGTTTTAAGAGAGGGAGGGGCACATCTGGGTTGTGGTTTAAAAAGATGTCAGGCAACAGTGAAAGCAGTGAGGATCTCCGTGTTGCAAAGGAAACACGTTTAGAGGAGCACACCCAGGTACACGGACACGCATGATGCACAGCGATCCAATCAGGCATTCGGCGACCCATTCTATGTCCGCGGACGCGCTTGGACAGACACCCAGATCCTCCCTGCGTGCAGGTGACCCCCCTGGAAAAGAGAGGACTCCTCACCCGAATAATCCCTGGTCCTAGATCCGCCCGGGGCCCTTCACTCACCTGGGTCGGGACCCACGGAGCTCCCAAGAGGCTGGGGCCGGACTCAAGTTTGAAGTTCTACGGTTCCGGGCCCTTTCCACCGGGCCAGGTGAGAACCTAGCCCAATCACCGGGCCCTGGCCCTTAAGACCCCGCCCCTTTCGGACCCCGCCTCCAACTGGAGTCTCCTAGGTTTTCGCTCCGCCCCCTCATTCCAGCCCCGCCCCCTTAGAACCTTTCTTTGCACTAACCACGCCCTCTTTGAATAATACTGTGCCTCCTTCAGAGCCACACCAGCTGGGAAACTCCGCTCTTCCCTAAGTGGGCCGGTCCCCCAGCATCGCCCCGCCCTCCTCTGACTGGCCACGCCCACTCACCTCTCGGTCGCCCTGGGTCCCTCTTCTGAGAATCCGGCTCCTCTGTTGCCCTCAGGCTGGCTGGCCCTAAGGACCCCTGGCCCCTCGGGACGCGGAGGGGGTGTCGCTCTCGCTCCTCAGGGAACCTTTCTTTGCACTAACCACGCCCTCTTTATAATACTGTGCCTCCTTCAGAGCCACACCAGCTGGGAAACTCCGCTCTTCCCTAAGTGGGCCGGTCCCCTAGCATCGCCCCGCCCTCCTCTGACTGGCCACGCCCACTCACCTCTCGGTCGCCCTGGGTCACTCTTCTGAGAATCCGGCTCCTCCATTGCCCTCAGGCTGGCTGGCCCTAAGGACCCTGGCCCCTCGGGACGCGGAGAGGGTGTCGCTCTCGCTCCTCAGGGTTCCGGGAAGGGGCGGGGCGGCCCCTATGAGTCTTCTTTCTCGGGTCGGGTGGCGGCGCTGTGACGTGGGAGGGTGCACTTCCTCGAGACCGCCCCCTTGGGTTTCCGGGAGTGGAACCCCAGCTGAGTGTTGGGTTTTGTGGAGAGATGCGGGAAAGCACGCAGCCTCCCCCAGTGACAGCACGACGGAGCTAGACTCTGAAGAGACATGGTGGGGGGGGGGTGGACATTCAGGTGGGGGGAGGAGGTGGTGGATCTCCCATCACGATGCCTGGAGACAAATATGAGAAAGGTGGGGGGATCGGGAATAAGAGAGAGAACGCTCCAGCCACGTTTACGAAGGGGAGAGGATGGGAGGAAGGGAAGGAGGGAGGGAGGGAGGGAGGAACGAAAAGGCGGTGGTCGCAGCTAACAATTACCGCGCACTGGCTGTATGCCAGGACTGTACTGCCTGCTTGACCGGCCTCAGCGCGTTTAATTGTCGCCTAGGGCAGGCCACTGAATGGGGTGGATGCTATTTTCATCGCTCCCATTTTCCAGATGCAGAAACGGAGCCGGCTTGTGAGTGGCCGATTCGAGCGCGGAGCCCTGGAAGGCCATCCTGTCTTCCTCTCTTTCGTCTTGGCACCTCCACCATCTCTGATGCCTACCGTAATTCCAAACTCGAACCCATTTTACAGATGAGGAAGTTGACGCATAGAGAGCGAAGGAGGTTTGGGGAGGAAACCTTTTGGTGCTTGTAGGATCACAAAGCTAGACATTTCCAGGCTGGGCTGCCCTCCCCGCCCTCATGTGGAAGAGGGGCTCAGGGGGGGCTGAGGGGAGTATCTTTTCCTTAACACCCCGTCCCTCCCGCCCCCGCCTAATGTTGATACAGAGGGTAGAGGGTATGTCCAGGGAAGGAGCATAGCGCCCCCTAATGGTTACAAGAATTTAAAAAATGCAAGGGGTGTCTAGGGAAATTGAGTGGGGAGGGGAGGCGACTCACAACCTAGTGGGGCGAGAGACCGCATAGACAAGATGATTTCAGGTGGTAAGGGCTACGAAGACAGTGAATGTTTGCTAAACGTGTCAACGAACGACACTAATGAAGCCTGTAAGGAGAGAGATGATAGTGACCATGGGGATACATGGATGGATTTGGGATAACTGTCAGAGGTGGTGTCAATAGAGCTTTCAACCATTTATTTGTTTGCTTATTCTCCTTCAACAAATATTTATGGAGCATGTATATGTGCCAGGTGCTGGGGTGGGGCGGGAGGGGGTCCAGCAGCACACAAAAGACTATTTTCTAAATAGATAATAAAGAAATAAGTATAGCTCAGCCGGCACGGCTCAGTGGTTGAGCGTCAACCTATGAAACCGGAGGTCACGGTTGGATTCCCAATCGGGGCACATGCTCGTGTTTCGGGCTCGATCCCCAGTATGGGGCGTGCAGGAGGCAGCCGATCATCATTGATGTTTCTATCTCTCACTCTTTATTCATCTCTGAAATGAATAAAAATATATTTAGAAATAAAATAAGTATAATAAAATATCAGATTTGATGATGATCAGGGCTTACAGTAGGGATAGGGTATGATCGGGTGGGATGAAAGGCTGTGACTCAAAATAGGGTGGTCTGGGAAGACTTCATGAAAAGGTGACACTGAGCAAAAACCTTTAGGTGGTGAGGGAACTAGCTATGAAGTTGCCTAAAGCAGGGGGAGGAGCATGTACAAAGGTCCTGGGGCAGGACAAGGCCTGGCTTGTTGGAGGAACAGCAGGAGGCCTGTGTGGCAAATGAGAGAGGGGTGTGGAGGGGTTGAGGGCAGGGAGAGTTTAGGGAGGGCAGGTCATATGGGGCCTTGTGGGTTGCATGGAGGACTTTTCCCCCAAAGAGGAAGGTATGTGACAAGAGGAGGGACACCCGACTTGACTCAGGTGATCCCAGGCGCCCTCTGGCTGTGGTGGGGAGGATAGACTGTGGAGGAAGAGGGCGAGAGCGCAGGGACCTGGGCGGAGGAGACTAGACTGGTCCAGGATAGTGATGATGGGGCTGGACCAGGGTGGAGGCAGAGAGGGGAGGGGTGAGCAGAGGGCGGATTTTGAGTACTTTGAGGTGTTACTGCTCAAGGGTTGGGTATGGAGAAAGGCAGCCGGCCTCAGTCTGTTGGCCTGACCACCGGCAGCCCCATCTCCCCTCCCAGGTGCCCAGGTGTTGTGTTGGTGGGGGAAAGAGAGGTCCGGGGAGGAAGGGGCTGGGCTAGGCGGGGCTGGCCT